TTCACTGCTACATTCTGTTGATTGTATTTTCACTCATTTAGCAAATATTTATTAAGTGCTCACTGTGTGCTTAGAAAGCAGAAATGAGTGTGACATGCTTCCTCTCCTTAAGGAGCTCCCGATTTAGTGAAGGAAATTAAGATATTTACATCTAACTATAACAAATACATCCAATAGGAGTGGATGTGTGTTATAGGAGAATATGGAAGAGTGTGTGTAATGCTTTGAGGAAGTAAGAATGGGTGGGAACAGTGAAAAGACTGCCAGACAGTGACATGTAAGCTAGGTCATGAAGGAAGAGTAAGGTTTTCTACAAGGACTGAAAACACCAGCCGGGGAAGAACTTGTGCAAAAATATGGAGGGGTGAAAAATGTGCATATGGTATTTTCAGGGACTACCAGTTAATCCAGTATTATTGAAGTATAGGGTGCATTAGGAGGAGGAAGGGGAAAAGGCTAAAAAGGAGGTGAGGCTAAACCAGTGGGCTAAGATGGAAAAATCCATCTTTGGAGGGCCTGAGTAACAATACTTTAACCTTAACCTTAGGCAGTAAGTAGGCTTAGAAAGTTTTTAACAAAGAAAGTGATAGCATGATTAGACTTGTTTTGGGGGGGTTTTAGTGGCTGGCCAGGATGGGAATCCAAATCCTTGACCTTGGTGTTATCAACACCATGCTCTAACTAACTGAACTAACTGGCTAGCCCCAAGACTTGTGTTAAAAGAGAATTTTAGTAGCAATTTAGAAAGTGGATTGGAATGAGCAAATACCAGAGAAAGTGAGAGCAATTTGGAGGTTCTAAAATTTAGGAAATATATGTTTTGGACTCTGAATATTCTAATTTTACAGTTCCCATAATTTAATAGATTTTTGTCATTTTTTCCTTTGTGTTCAAGTAAACCAGAATGTAAGGCATTAAAGAATGATCTTTTATTAAAGAAATGTATCTAGAAATTAGTCTAGAATTTCTCAGTAATTCTTCAGTAGCCACTATGTTTGGTCCTGTAGGTTGGCCTGGCAGTGGTCAATGGACAGCTCATGGCAGTAGGAGGTTTTGATGGCACAACGTACTTGAAGACCATTGAAGTTTTTGATCCTGATGCCAATACGTGGAGGTAACCTTTAAGCTGTGTTGCAAATCACCTCACTACTGACTTGAAAATCTGGGCTTGAGATAGCCCATGACCATCAAAACTGGAATGGTCAATACGTTGAGGTACCGCTTGCCCTACTTTGAAGAGGGCTGATGTCATCCATATTTGATGACTCATTTTGACTTGATTGCTCCAAAGTAGCTGATGTATTACAAAATTATGCTTTTTGGTAATTGTCCAGCTTTATGAGATGGGAAAAACAGGGGAAAAAATCTCCTTTCTAGCCCCATCATGTTCAGCTGAGAAAACGAAGGCACCAAGAAATAAAATGATTTCCCTAACAAGTTAGTGACAGAGCTAGAATTAGAACCTAGGTCTTTGGCTCCAAATCTGTAAATGCAATTTCTTGTGGGAAGCCTTATGCCCAAGAAAAAACAAATTATAGTTACTTTTTAAAAAATAATACTTTATTTCATTTTAAGACCTACTTTTTTTTCTTGAGCTTTTAAAATCTACTTAAAGGGCCGGCCCGTGGCTCGCTCGGGAGAGTGCGGTGCTGATAACACCAAGGCCATGGGTTCGGATCCTATACAGGGATGGCCGGTTAGGTCACTGGGTGAGTGTGGTGCTGACAACACCAAGCCAAGGGTTAAGATCCCCTTAACGGTTATCTCTTAAAAAAATTTTTTTTTTTAGGGGCCAGCCTGTGGCTCACTCGGGAGAGTGCGGTGCTGATAACACCAAGGCCATGGGTTCGGATCCTATACAGGGATGGCCGGTTAGGTCACTGGGTGAGTGTGGTGCTGACAACACCAAGCCAAGGGTTAAGATCCCCTTACCGGTCATTTTAAAATATATATATATATATATTTTTTTTTTAATTAAAAAAAATAAAATCTACTTAAGTGTATTATTATTCTATTTTGAAATCTAGTGAATTTTAACATTCACTTTTAGAAAGGAGACTGTATCTTATTTAAGAGAGTTTAACTATGTTAAACTTCATTTATAGGTTTAATTTTTCTATTTGTAGTGGGTATTCTGAGTGAGCATAATTTGGTAAGATGGCAAATTTACTTCTACTTAATCACTATAATCTTATGTAAGGCCTTGCTTCTCAGTAAGCATTACTAAATAGAATTAGTAACATATGACGAAGTAATAGCCATGAAATTCTTGAGGATGATCTGTTGAGATTAATATCTAAATTTTAGCAGTTACATATCCCCAACTTACTACCTCACAGCTGATTAAGGACCAAGTATTCTTTGCCATAGATGTCCTTAATTTTGACTATGATCTTATTCAGATGTCACAAACGAGATGCTGACTTTATTTACTCACTTCTAGTTTTGTTCCATAAAGGATTTGAGGAGGCTTACGAGAGTACATACAAGACAAAGGGATAAAAATAAATAATTGAGGAAGTTTAGGCAAAGGGAAAAATGTGGATGGGAAAATAATATAGCCTGAGGCAAAATTAGACACAAAAATGTAGAACAGATGGTTCTGTGAAATTGTTAGAAAGCAGTCTGGTTGTAAAGTTGTAATGTTCTGATGTAAAAAGTTAATATGATGCTCTCTCATTCTTCAAACAGGCTCCAGTAAGTGAGTGCGTTTCAGTCAGTGTCTGAAATAATTCTACTACTTATCAGTGCTCAATTCCAGCTTCTAATCTTTGGAAGAGATGTATGAAGCTGAAAATATTATTTGTAATGTAAAGCATACAAACGTGTTTGATTAACATCTTATTTATGGGAGAAAAAGTGCTTTTTCCAGTTAGAAAATCTGATTTTGTTTCTTTCTTTGCAGGTTATATGGCGGGATGAATTACCGTCGGCTAGGGGGTGGCGTAGGAGTTATTAAAATGACACATTGTGAATCCCATATATGGTGAACATATAGAAGAGTCTTGTATTCTGGAGAGCTACGACTTTGGAGCTTTGTACAGCTTGAGAAAACATTAGAACAAATTTTATTCTTTGCCGGTGCCTCAACATATGGAAATACAAACCCAATGAAAGTACTTCACCTGCAAGATGCCACCTTTGCACAATAATTTTCAACTCTGTGCAGAAGAATATTTATTTTTGGTTTTAATTTATCATGGGGTTTTTTTGTATTTTTGTTTGGTTTTTTGTTTGGTTTGGGGGGGGTGGGTTCTTCATGAAAAAAATGGAAAAAAAAAAAAAAAAAAA